ATGTAACAAACAAAAATATCTTCAGACATTGTCAAAAACCCATGGGGAGCAAAAATATTCCCCACCTGAGATCAATTGACTTAAGCCCTGAAACAACTTTGTGAAGTACCTATTATTGACCTCAGTTTTGGAACAAAAAAAAAAGATGGATAAATGTTTTCAAATTTTTTGGGTAGATACCCCAAAAACAGGTTGCTGTGTCATATGGTTAAAAAGGAAAAAAAACAATGACGAAACACCATGCAGTGTAGATAACCTTTTAGGAAGATTTACTGGTCATTTTTTTATGACTTGTGTATAAAATATGTAAAAGAAAAACTGCCCTTAACTTTCTTCCCTCTTTTCAAAAAGTATGTTTTATTGATTTTTAGACAGAGAAGAAGGGAGAAGGAGAGAGAAGGAAACATCCATGTAAGAGAGAAACATCAGTCAGTTGCCTCCTGCATGCACCTTGACTGGGGATTGAACCGCAACACGAGCATGTGCTCTGACCCAGAATTGAACTGGCAACCTTTGGGTGCATAGGGTGACACTGAGCCACACCTCCCAGGGCCCCAATATTTTAAAAAGAAACTTATTCTGCTACATGTAGACTTGCTGTATATAAAACAATTAGAGACATATGATAAAGAAGAGCTAGAAAATCACACATCTTGTAAATGTTCTTTTTGAAAAAAGATCAGAGACAAGAAATTCATCGGAAAATAACTCTTGGAAATGGAATTATTAGGCCATTTCTAGAAGTAACACCAGGAGGTGGACCACAGCTGTTAGAGGACCTGGAACAGAAGGTGGTAAGGAAAAAGAGAAGCAGAGGCCTGCTCATATTTAGAAGATATTTTCAAATTGTCTTTATTGTTATGTATGTATATTTTTCTCATGACAAGATATAGTGAACAATTTTAAACATCTAAATTATATGTCTTACTAGAGGCCTGTTGCATGAAGAGATTCGTGCAATAGGCCTTCCCTTCTCCTGGCTGCTGGCACCAGTTTTCCTCCGGCACCCGGGACCCAGGCCTTTGCTCCGGCCAGAGCCGCCTTCCGTCCTCTGTCTTCACAGCTCGCCGGCCAGAGCCGCCTTCCGTCCTCCATCTTCACAGCTCCGGCTCGCCTTCAGTCTTCTCTCCGCCGCTTGGAGCCTACATATGCAAATTAACCGCCATCTTTGTTGGCGGTTAATTTGCATATCACGTTGATTAGCCAATGAGAGGCGTAGTAAAGGTATGGTCAATTACCCTGTTTGCCTATTATTAGATAGGATATTTCTAGAGGTTATGAAGTGACTGATATATGTAAAAAGTAGATGTATTAACATCAACATTTTGTAAATATCTTTCTGTTTTAATGCAAATGAAATATTGTGTTTTGGGTATGGATTTCCTCAGTGCCAACAATACCCAAATAGGTGCAATGTATGATTAGCTCCAGCTCATGATGTCCCAAAAGCTCCTAGTGGACTGGCCAAGCCTATATAAGTGCCCTCCTTCCTGCTACTGTGGTAGCCACCAACCTACAAAGCTTTTGCCATGTAGAGAGCAGAAGCTGTCACTAACCTGGAAAGTGGTCTGTCTTATGGATCTTCGACCTGACTTTAGTGAGCCCAATGGTTTAATTTTATGCCTTAATTTTGTACTTCTTACAGAAAAAATGTTCTCATTCCTCCATGTACTGTGTGGGTTTGCTAGTCATTTCTCCAATTGTTAGGAGCAAAGTTGAACCCTGGCTCACACCTGCCATCCTAGAAAATGCAGAATTTGTTACCCTTTCAAAAGTGGCAACTCTGAAATGTCCAAATAGAAAAGGCTCAGGAGCACAGCTGAGTGTTGATACAGGTGCAGAGAATGATAATTTCTCTTTTAGCTGCAACTGCAAAGTAAGACAAAACAAAACAAAACCAAATCACAAATTTTATGTTTGTTCATGGTGTGTTTGGGAGGGGTGAGAGAGAGTCAAGAGGCAAAAGCCATGTTTAACCATTGCAGAGCTTCCCTAACAGCCTTCGACTTGGGAAACAGTTTCATAAGAAGACTGGAAAGTAGGAGATTTACATGTATCATTCAAGGATGAACTTTGGGGAAAATATTCAATAACTTCAATCATTAGAAAGAGTTCTATCATTAATAACTAAAAGAGTTCTGTCATTGATCACTTCCATCATTATTCTTCTGCTCTAGTAAGTTCACAGTTCAACTTCCTGGAGCGGAATAGCATAGACATGTTATAATGGACGCTCCAAGGAGAGTTTTTATGAGGAACAGGGAATACTAACAGATGGATTCCCATTAGAAACAATTCTTCTAGCTCACCAGCCAGTCACAAAATAAAAGTTTGAGAAGTAAGCCCTGCAAAATATACCTGAGCATTTAGGGGGAATGATACACAAATAATATGATGTCTTCCTGTAGCTTATGCATGTAAATAATAACATGTTTGCATGGAGACTTTTTAGTTCACAATCTCTCTATTTTTCTCTCAGGATCTTATAGCTGTGCTCAGGGCTGATTCTTTTGTCTTATGTCTGCCAATAGCCATTTTACCAAGCTGTTCCTTGGTTTTCCTTTTATTGCTAATTCTTGGCACTTGTCTGATTTATTTCCTTAATCTTGAAATTAAAATAATTCAGTAAGGAATGTTTCACAGGGGCCTCTCTTATTGAATTTGTCTTATAAAAATTATCTATTGTCTTCAGATAAAATAGTTTCCCAATTATTAATTTAAATATAGTGTCTCTTTATCTGCTCCTTTTTCCCTTAAAATTGTAACATCCATATATTGACTTTCTTGTCTCTTATTTAGATCATATTTCATATGCATCTCTGCATTCTCTGAGTATAATTTTGTCTTCTATAGTAAACTATACTCCATTACCTCAATTTTATTTTTGAGTTTTGTATGTATGGTTTTGTTGCAGAGACACATCATCTGATTTCTGAGTCATCACATCTTGCAGCCGTAATGACCTTCAGGCTTTGTTGAGAAACAGCCTTTAACAAACAGTGATGGCTACATTTCCTTGTTTCTTTCTGTAGGTTCCTTTCACGGCAGGGTATCTTGACCTGATGCCTTTGATGGTTCCCCTTCTTTTGAACTAGTAAGTATTTTCATGAGTCTGGCATTTCCCGCCCCTCTTGTCCCATCCAAATTGGCTGTGTTCAAAGGATACTACATTCATAACAACTCGATTTAAGATTTGAAAGTAACTAAAAGACATTTTCACATACACAAGGTCTCAGCAAATGTGCTACTGTCTATGTAACCTTGAAAAACAATAGCATAGCTTCAATCTTAGAAGAACTCAAGAATAAGAACATGAAAAGATAAAAACATATCTAAGTTCTTTTTGTCAAGATAAAGATATGTTTAAAACCAAGAGGACAAGGTTAAGTGAGAGAAGATAAAATGTGAGTTTCCTGGTCAATTTGCCTGTAGACACACTAAAGAGGACACACAGTCAGTTATTGCCTTGTTGTGTGCCCATCTTCTATTTGTTTTTACTAAAGTGTGTTTTCATTGCTTTAATACACACAAGCTAAATATTGAGACAGGGATGAAGTGCCATATCTTATTTGTTATCTAAAAGTTAAAAAGACCCTAAAGCAATTAGAATTAAAATTTAAAAAAAAAGAATTGGTAGTCTGATATTTAATAAAAAGGCGAAGTCACTACGTTTTGTCTTCTTAGGTGATATTGGTGGTACTTTAGGGAATATGGTTTTTTATGCTTTTTAAAAAAAAGGGTGTAAATTGAGAGGCTTCGAAGTTATATTATTCCCATGTCTGAGGTCCTCATTATGAGAATGGTGTTGATTGCTAAAAAGAGAGCCACAAAAATGATGAAGTGGTACACAACCTATATCCAGCTACCCTGGGGAAAGTAAAAGAGGGGAAGGATAGGATAGTTATTATCAAATCTTTACAAGGGATAATAAATGTATTCCACTGTGCTCCAAAGGCAGAAGTGGAATTAAAGACTGAAATTACAGTGAGAATATTTTGTTTACTAAAAGAAAGACGTTTGCAACACCCAGACCCTTTGCTGCTGGAGCTGTTGAAGCAGGGCTGATCGCACATGGGAGAGGTTTGACCGTGGAGTGGGAGATTTCTCACAGGATCTTTAAAGGTCTCTTCCCCTCCAAACTCCTGTGGTGTTCCCGCTAAATATCATGTTTAATTTCACCAGAGCTTGAAGGCTAGAGAGCATTTGTTCTATTCCACTCAAATAAAGCTTTATAATGAAAGGAGTGTTTGAATTGCGAAATTTGTGAAGTTAAATTCCATTGCATTTCATTTAGTAAAATTAAAATGCCTAGTGACATCCTGGGCAGGGCATTCGCTGTATTTAGACAGGTAATTAATGTCTAATTGGACACTAGTACTCAATCTAGCAGTAATGAAATAATGGCTAAAAATATCAGCCAGTATTTAAAAAGATACGTGGTATCTATCCTGAAGCAATTTTCTTAAATGCCAATTATAATTTGACATTTAGAGCGGAGTGATGTGATTGCAGATGAAAGTTGCACTGTAATCCTATGGTGTATGGCTATGCATTCTTATCTGAGGTCAATAAAAACATTTTCATAATTCATAGGTATTTAAAAATAGATATTTCACTTCTGGGAAAATTCCCTTTTAGTAAATATACTGTATAATAAAAATGAATTACTTTTTTAAAAAAAAATTCTAATATTTTATAAAGATCTTTAAGATTATTTTACTTTTTCCTGAAGCCAGCTGATTTGGAAGGCCTCTGTATCATGTACCTAGGAAAAGCACAAGGGAACAACACATTCTGTGTAATTATCTATTTATTTATGCAAGGGACTTGAATTGGAATTTGATTTTCAGTACCAATTACAAAACAATTATGCATTCTCAGTTAAATGTAGACTCATATGCTTTAATTGATAATTGAGACTATTATCTTTATATAATATTTGTATAATCTGTTCAGGATGTGTTTTAGAAAGAAAGTTACCATAATGTTGAGCCAAGAAGTGATAGTTCATGTCTTTCTATCTATCTCTATTTCTATCACTATCTCTATTTCTATCTCTATCTCTATCTTCTATTTCTATCTCTATCTCTATCTCTATCTCTCTATCTGTTTCCCTACCTATTTATCTATCTATCAATCTATCCAGATTGATTTACTGTAAGGAATTGTCTCAGATGACTATGGAGGGTGACAAGTCGTGAGAACTTCAGGGTAAGTTTGCCAGCTGGAGACTCAGGAGAGCTCACTGATGGTGTTTTTTAGCCTGAAAGCCACAAGCCAGAGATGGAGAAAAAAAGCCTTTTAGTCTGCATCAGAAGGGAGGGAACAAATGATGTCCCAGTTCAAAGGTGCCTGGGAATTTTCTCTTACTCAAGGGATGGTCAGCCTGGTTTTTTTTCCATTTAAGCCTTCATCTAATTGAAGACCATCTACATCAGGGCAGGAAATCTGTTTTACTCCATTTCCTGATTAAGTGTTAATTTCATCTAAAGACACCCTCACAAAAGTACTCAGAATAATGTTTGGCCAATTATCTGGGTACTCAGTAGCCTAGTGAAATAGTCTAATAAAACGGACTACAACAGGTAGTGATAGCCAAACATAATGTTGGAAAATTGATGAACTAGACCCTGCATGTTATTGAATTTCTAACATATATTGTTATAATTACTTTGTCAAAAACTTTTAACAAATTACTATTAAAAATTAAAAATTGAAACCAACCAGCCAAACAAACAAAAAATTCTAAAGTACATAAAGAAGACCTGGCTTTGAATAATGCCCAAAGTAATAAAAGAAACACAAAATCATCATTCCCCTAACATCATCATCATCATCATTTTGAAACAGTTCATTGTATTTAGAAAATCATTATGACATTGTTTCCATGATAACATCCATTCATATCAGAGCATTGTTGTTCCCAGAATATTACCAGAATTTTAATAAAATTATGATTGTGAGACCTATCAAGAACTGGGGGTATATGATCGTAAAGAGTACCGGAGGGTAGGACTTTAACATTTATTTTTATGGGGGACACAAGCCAAGCCCTAACATACCTTTTCTTGGTATTGTGAGAGAATTTTCTATGTAAAAAGAAACAATATATAAGAGCAGAACTATTGAAATTGAGATTAGAAAACAATAAAAAACATTAACTATCGGAAGCTAACTCTTTTTAAAAAATATGTTTTTATTATTTTTAGAAAGCAAGAAGGAGAGATAGAAACAGTGATAAGAGAGAAACATAGCTCCATTTGCTGCCTCTCGCACGTCCCCTACTGGGGATCGAGCCACAAACCTTTCATGTGTCCTTACCCAGAATTGAACCAGGACCTCTTGGTGCATGGGTTGATGCTCAACCACAGAGCCACATTGACTGGGCCAAAGCTAACTCTTGGGGAAAAAAAGAGAAATTGAAAAGTCTCTTATCATACTGATCAAGAAAAACAAAGAAAGCAGAAATCACAAATATTAGAAATGAAATTGAGGCTGTCACTGCCATACAGAGTAAAAAATAAATAAATTAGGGAATACTTCAAACAATTCTGCGACCATGAATTTGATAATTTTAATTCAATAGACAATGCTCTAAAGCCATAGTGCCAAATTCCACATTAAAAAATAGATACATTCTCTAATTTTGATTTTTTGCAATTTGTTTTTCAGAGCTCAAATTTGACACAAACCTGGTAGCTTGTGTTTTTCAAAAGCCTTATCTATTAATGCTCGATTAAGATGTTTAATTCACATATATGAACAATATCTTTAGTGCAAGAACACAAAGGCGATCTTCACTTATCATCTTTCACAGAATGGTTGGAAAGAACAGGGCAAGGTCCTTTGAGTATCCTGGGTGAAAACCCTTATGGCAAACTCCACCTTGCAGGCAAACATCTTTGACCTAGAATTTGTGGCTCTTTCTTATACTGCCTCTGATCGCTGGAAGTTTATGTTTAATGATGATGGGTGATGTATAAAGGTAATCTAGAAAATTACACATTTGATCAATTATATGTTATATAACATTTACTGGGCGTTTGAGTTCTTGTTTTACCTGTTTTTACACTGCTGGTGGAAAATCATGAGCTCAGAAAAATGTCCAAGATTCTGTGAACATATTATTTCCAATCTTCTTTAAATTAATCTAACACCACTAGGAAGCAATGGCTAATAAAAAGGCACTGATAATGGTCACACATGCTATCTTAGCATTTTTTTGATAATCATTGACTATTCTGAGTAATAACTGATGCCTGTCTAGTTTCCTAAAATTAGCGCCAACAGAAATGCCTTTCTTCCCATTTCTTATTCATGATGTCAGCTACTTTTATAACAGCTGCATGTGGAGTATATTCATCTTGTCATAAAAAGTAAATCTACCATCTATTGCTGCATGTAAGGCTGCAAGGAGGTTTGATGGTATTCATAGACCATATCATGCTTCTTTTGAGATGTCTTTGCCATCAGAAAATAATGTGACTAGTTTGAAAAGATTCACTGACAAATCTCTAGCCTGCTCTTGAAATGTAGTTTATCTCTGTGCTCATATTGATTTTCATAAAGAGAACTGAAATTGGAAATACACTTAATACTTGGATTCTGTACTTCTTTATGAACTGTAAATGTCAGTCATATAAAGTTTTCAAATATTAATTGACACATTCTGAAAATATATTAGCATATATTTAAGTATATTTTTGAAAATAATTCAGGAGTATTGTTTCTTAAATCTTGTTTTTCTATGTTGTATTTTTATGGTGAGACAAATGAATACAAAATGATTTGAAATAAAATTTTAGTCTTTCACCTACCTAAAAGTCAGTTTTCAGTCCAGTGAAGTAATACATAAGGGGAAAAGTTTCAGAGTTGATGTTTCAGATGTACTTTCAGAAATATGATAACTGTATAAAATTAATAGTTTCTTTATCTTGGTTGTTTTATTCAGAAGACTAATGACTGATATAATTTAATATGTAAAGCTTTAAATAAAAATAAAATATTCATCAACTTATGGCTATGAATATAAAAATCTTTCAAAATCACATGTGGTTTTGGTGTCCTGTGGATTATCATTCCCCAGTGATCACTCTAAGTAGTGAAGAACTTGTATATTAGAGGATTTTTCCCTGTGATACAATATAATCTTATAAAAACTAAATTTATTATTAAAGTGCTTTACCTTATATAATAACAGCCTAATATGCTAAATGTCTAGTTGTCCAGTTGGCTATTCAACCAAGCAAAGAGTAATAAGGCTGCTCAACTTCTCGCTATTACATGCACTGACCACCAGGGGGCAGACTCTCTAACCAGTAGGTTAGCTTGTTGCTGGGATCTGGCCAATTGGGACTGAGCAAGATGAGCTGGACACTCCATGGAGCCCTCCTATGGTCCCTCCCCAGCTGGCCAACCTCCCGCATCCCTTCCTGGCCGATTCATGCACCAGTGGGGTCCCTTGGCAGTCAGACATCCCTCGAGGGGTCCCAGATTAGAGAGGGTACAGGCTGGGCTGAGAGATATCCTCCTCCCCTGCACGAATTTCGTGCACCGGGCCTCTAGTTTTATAACAATAGGCCAGATATTTTAGTGCAGGTTTGCATTTCTTAGCCTGACTTTCCCTAAAGGGAAATTTGAAATAAAGATAAATGAATGTACCTCCTAGGTTGCCAGCCATATTCTTTGAAATTTTCTGTCTCTCCTGAGACTTTCACCAAAGGTGGGTAACTGGGTTTGTAGATTATTTTCTATAGCAAGAATCTGTAGTGTTCTGCAAGGTTTCTGATTAGGAGTAAATGTATAAAAATTCGTGGTGAATAGAAAAGTCAGAAAAGCAGGCATATGCCTATGTCTATGCAAATCAATTATTGACTGACAACTCTGACTAGATACAGAATTGGATTCAAAGACCATCCCTGGAAAGAGTAGTCTCCAGAAATAATTATGAATGATGGAGATCCCAACAAACTACTAGTATGTCATAGAATTTATGCATATCAATTATAGTCCAGAGTTATTTCATAGCAGATATTATCAACTGCTCACCAACTCAAATCATACAATTTTCTATTAAAGGTGAGCAGATAAATTTCTGAGAAAGTGTTGGTGTAAGTCTATAACTTAAGCTGCCTAAGAATTATATCATTACGCTTGTAAAAAATAGTGATATTATTATTGAGTCATTTATTTAGGGATCTTTTGGGATTTAGCCAGTTGCCTAGTGAAGTGATTCTTGTAGGTAAAAATGAAATTATTGACATAAGCTTGGAGAAATTGTTTATTCTTAGTTATAGGCAGGCATGCATTCAGTTCATTCAAAATAATATTTGACTAATCAAAGTAAAAAGTACACATGGGGATTTCCAAATATATAATTTTTTACACCACTTATCATCTGATTTATTCAGGACACTTTAGCTATAGACATTGTCACTCAGGTGATGTTGAAGTATAGGTCTTATAAATGTACCATTGACCAGCATTGTAAAAATGATTCATAGACTCTAGACATAACCAGTTCTATTTCATGCAGTTGTAATAGATAAAATTCAATATATTTTTTAATTTATATTTTTCCTGACATATGTCTTTAGTGGGTGAAGGTGAAATTAACAGTGCTTAATAATGAAATGCCCATGCTGGAAACCTGCTGACTCCTCTTGGAAAACATCAGCTTCAACATTTTAAACTATGTTTATTAAACAGCCGTAAGTTTGAAGCATCTGGAACAGATTTATGACAAGGAATCATTCAAAATCCCATGTAATTATATTGCTATTTTCAATAAGCAGCTTGTGCAGTCAAGACACTGCATTCATTATTCATTGATTAATTTACCTATTAATTTATTTACTCCATAAATAGCTAGGGGGGTTCTCCTTTATACCAGGAACTGGGCTGGGTGAAGTTCTGGAGATACAGCAGTTAGAAAAAAAAATTTACTTGCTCTAATAAATTATGTTTAATAAATCATTTAAGTACATGACTTCGGGGTGATTTTTATGAGCTAGGCATAGTGTTAAATGTTTTCCATAATTTACATTACAATTTTCTTAGTAAATCCTTGAATAGACATTATATTTTATGCATGTTTTCTTGTTCAGAATATTGCAATGCAGAGAATTTAATTTAAGTGAAATTTGCCAAAATTCACCTAGATAGCAAATGTCAGGCCTGGGATTTAAACCTGAGTACTCAGACTCCAGAGTGTTCAGATTTTATCAACTGCTTTGTCATGATTTGGGGGCAAACCAAATACATTCTGCAACTCTGAAGTATTCCCCCAAAGTCTTATTGAGAGAAAATGATGTGACAACAAATATTAGAATTTGAGAAAAATAACTTGAGGTTGTACCGCTGGATCTGATGAGTTTGGGCACTGCAACTTTAAGAAAGTCCTTTCATCCTTTTGCATTCTAATTACATTTTCTATTAAAATTTGATAGAAAACTGTAAAACTGTCCAAAGAAGAGTTTTGGTAGGTTTGTGATCAAACCTTATATGTGGCATTGGGTTTCAAATAAATGTCGATTCAATTTTAATTCAAAAGAAACTGGGTTCTAATTAGTGTGTCCTTTAGAAAAAGCCATATTAAAATGGGGTCTGTAAGAACTTTGAACATTTGAATGGTGCAAAAAATAGTACTAAGGGAGGAAATCGAAAGCTACCTTAGACAAGCTTCTATTCTTTGCTTAAGGATGGACCTGCAAATAATGGTTAAATTGTATTGGCCATTCTGTTACAGATGTCTACAAAACTCAATTCTAATTGAATTACTCTGCAATCCAACTTGGTTCTGATATTTGGAAATTTCTCTTAGGTATATTTCTTTTTTTTCTTCCTTTCTTTTTTTTTTTTTCTTCTTTTTTTGATGTTTGGAGCGATTTTCTTGTTAGGGTGATATAATGTCAGTCTTCTATGAAGTTCAGAGATCTGTAACATACCTCAAAGCATTTTTCATTGTACAGAGCCAAATTAAAGATGAAAGAGGGCAGAGGGAGAAATGTTCATTGAAATATAAATATTTCATCTTTATTAATTCTTAAAGTAGGCAGAAAGAATTTTTAAAGAGATGAATTGTGTTATGTAAAAGCTTGGTATTTCTGCTCTAGCTGGCTTGGCTCAGTAGCTTGGTATTTCTGACATGAATGTTTTTCCTACAGTTGGTGACTTAAGTTTTTTTAAAAAAGTTTATTACGGAAAATCTGTCATTTATGTTATGAGTATTAACTGTGATGGATCAGTTTGGGATATCTTTTTAATTAATTTAATGCAGTTAGGATTATCTCAGATCAGAAAGCTTTTGTGGAAAGTGTCTTTGAACATTTTCCATTGTGGAAACACACTGAAATGTTTACAGAAAACAATAAAGCACTAACATACATTCCCAGAGCTCTATTCCTTTATCTTCCTAAAATTACTTCTTTCCTCTTTTTATTACTAAAATTCTATTGAATACCTGACAATAACCATAAGAAAACACAAATGCTCACAGCACTAAACTATACAGCTGATAATCAACATAATCTGAGAAATTGGAATGATGCTCTAATAAAGGCACCTGTTTTAAAAAGAGGAAAAAAAAAACAACCCACATATTTTTGTTTTATCTTAGAAGTTGCCCAGAAATCTCTTTTCTGAAACTACCTACCCCATCCTGAAATGATATTTTAAACCCCATTTCCCATTGCAAACTCAGAAACCTGGGTTCCGAAGCTCTAGAAAATGACCAGCTATTCATTTGTGAGCCAGGCGGAGGGTTGGTGTCCCTCCTGCTCCTGTGGCCATCTGTTCAGAGATACTACATTCTCAGAAGAGAACTGGGCAGGGCACAGGGGCCACATAGGGCCTGAATTTAAAGCTTTCCTTTGGATTTTTCACTCTTAAAAATAGTAGGCTTTACCACAGGTACAAGAGAGCAAGAATCCATATCATTCCATGTATAGAAGGTAGTTCCCATGTAGTATAAATATGTTTAGACACTCTTTTCAAACTTTTTGATAATCCCATTATTACAAAGTAACTACACATCTTTAGTATATGCATGTTTATTTATGAACCTTCTAGGTACAACTTTGCTGCAGCGTATTATTTACATTTTTTTTAAAAAAATATTTGTTTACTGATTTCAGAAGGAAGGGAAAGGGAGAGAGAAATAGAAACATCAATGATGAGAACAAATCACTGATCAGCTGCCTCCTTGCATACACCACACTGGGTACCAAGGCCACAACCCAGGTATATGCCCCGACTGGGAATCGAACCGTGACCTCCTGGTTCATAGGTCGATGCTTAACCACTTAGCCACACCAGAAAGCCTATTATTTATATTTTGAAGCATGTGCTAAGTGTGCATTCAAGATCTCAATCAGGTTTTTACAATATCTATTATATGCTCTATTAGAATAAAATGTCAATAGTTTTACTGAGAGAAATATGATTAAATTTATTTTGTAATTTCAAAATATCGATTGGGTGCTTGGTGATACACTGGCTCCCATGTCTGGTTCTATGTTAACTGAATTTAACTACATGGTTTATTATCTGTCATATCTGAAAATGATAGTCCACAAAAGGACGTAGGTCCAAATGGAAATGGTACTTCAGTGGTGCTACTTAATAAGTCAGGTTATTTTTCATTTCTCTCTACTATTACGTAAAGTTTTATGTAAAAATCTGTTTGCAAAACTTTTGTAATGATGTCAAGAAGCTTTTCTTACAAAGTAAATGAAACACATTGCATTTTTGTGTTTTTAGGAAGTAAGTTTAAAAACCATGTCAAAACTTCACCATCAGGACCTTCACTGGATGAGTTTGACTAAATCAGAAGCCTTTGTTTGCTAAGTGTGCTGATGCGACTTTTTATAGATTATACAGGTGCTTCCCTTTTGGTAATAAATCATTTATAACAGATTATCAAGCATTCGCAAACTCTTCAAACATGGGTTTCTTTAAAAAATAAAATAAAGGTACTTTCTCATTTGGGGCAAACATGTCACTTTTAAAGACAGATTAGATGAGCGTTTTTATTTGTAAATATATCTTCTAGGAATTAAGAAGTGCTGCAAAAAATGAGGACCTGCCGAAAGGACATCATAGCCAACCTGAGTGAGTGAGATGGGATGAATGTTTCAACACAGTGATAATAGTTGCAAGCAAGACCCACCTATGAATGCCAAAATCTGTAGGCAAAACTGAGAGGGGGAAAAAGCATATTGGCACAGCCTCAAGGTAAATAATAAAGGACCATTTATCCATTACAAAGAGAAACTAAGTTTATAGTAGAGAAATCTGGCAGATATCACCTTCACTAGGTAATATGAAAATATATGAAAA